CGAGAGACCGAACGAGAGAAAGGGAGCCAGGGAGATTTTAAGCCACAGATAAGTAGTTAAAGACCTTTATAGAGTATAACACCATTATCCTTGCTGAATAAAAATAGGATTTAGTGTTTTTTCCACTTAATTTGAATCAAAAGAATCCCCACCTTACATATTGCACTGGTAATGTAATGGAGAGAGACTCACAAAAAGGCTTTGTGGTTCTGACACCTCCTATAGTGGGCCTGTGTTGTCCCACGAGCAAAAGGGAGAGCAGGCTTTTTCTTCTTCGCCTTGCTATCTGCTAACACATTCTAATTGATGCCGCTGCATTCCTGCACTGGGCACATTCAATGAATAACGAGTGACGGACTCAATGCCCATGAATTAGTCCCTTCTAAGAGAAGCAGTAAAACAGACCCCCTGCCCCCAGGCCCTAGATTTCCCCCTCTAGCCACCGAGCTCCCCTCAATCCCAGGCCAAAGCCTGCTCCAGCTTCACCGCCCATTAAAGTGCCACTATTGTGCACCGACGCAACCCACAAAAGCTGTCCGTCTCTCCAAGGCCTCTAAAGCCCGAACTCACACAGACTGGAGTGACAACCTCTGCGACTCCCCCCGGCCCCCTTCCCACCCTCGCTCTTCCCAATAAACCCCCTAATCCCACCCCTTCCACCAACGCGCACACACACACACACGTGTGCGAGCAAGTTGTGCTCTCTATCTCCCTCGCTTGCCTCTGCTGTGCACAAAGCATCAATCTGTCGTTGGTGTTGGCACCCTCGGCCCTTTGTCCAATCTGCAGGTGTCTATGAAAGCAGCTACGGTTGCCCTAGACCCACGCCTCACCACGCCTCGCCCAGGACAGAAACTGCTGACAAAGACCCAGTGTGGGAATGAGGGATGCGTACAGGGAGCGAAAGTGAGGGGGCTCCCCTAAAATTGATGTCTGAGGAAATCGTGCAACTTTTAGGAAGTTCTGTCCATGGAGAATAACAACTTGTTGGAGTGACTAGAGCTCAGTGTCACTATGGGAAGAGATAGTGATGGAATGCCAGATGTAAATGCCTCTTTTTGCTCTCATAAACACACAAAAGACTGTATAAGTATACTTTTATACAGTTATTTAAAAGTTATTTATATATATATATATATATATTGTTAAATGAGTCAATGCTATACTATTAATAAAACAAAGCAAAAACAGTGAGCTATCGTGGTAATGAAGTGAAAATAAAAATCATTAAAAAACAATTAAACTGAATTTGTAACTTACCATTAATTATCCTCAGATGTCATTAAGGTATGAATAAAGTGTGCATGTATTTAGAAAATTTGCCTATTTACGATCACAATACAAACAGGTTTTTAAGTACAAAAATGCTTCAATTACACATTTCATATACAAAATGCTCACCATATGTCCTACACTATTCTGTAGCCCTGAACATTTATGCTTTCCACCAGCAAACTAAGTGTGTTAAGGATGCAAAGTTTTGCCTGTATAAAGTTTGAACCTACAATCAAAAGAACGAGCCAACACTTACTGCATTAGGGCGACATCGTGTGGGTTTAATACATATTGCAGATTAATTTACTAAGCACGAGCTACTTTTTATAAAACGTCACCAGGGAAACTTGAAATATTTTCATGCCAGGGTTATTATAGTTATCTAAACCATAAAACATTTTCCATAACACATTTTCGTTGCTTAAAATAAAGGTTAACTGAAATAATAATAAAAACTTAAACATGTTATTTCAGCTTGCCACATTTCTCATTCTCATTTACTTTAACTGAACTAAAATGACTAAAAATACATAAATCTGAAATAAAAATAATAAAACTATGTAGACATATATTTAAAAAAATTAATAAAATGACAAAAACACAGCAAAATTACGAAACATTTAAGTAAAATTAAAATGAAACCTATAAATTTAAAAATAAAAACGAACTCAACATATTAATGAATAAAAATAGCCTAGTATCTCAGTGATACCAAAATAAGTCACAGTTCCATGCTTATAGTAAATGGTGCAGTTTATATATTATATATTTTTAATTGATTGTAATATTTTTTTTTACCTCACATCAGTCATATATAAAAGTATTAACAACTAGAAAAGTCCATCAAAACAAACTTACAATTTACTGAAAAAAGTGTATATATACATGTTTGTTAACTTTAAGTCCATCTATATGTAACTGTACTACTAAACGTCACTTTTAGCAAGTGAACTCATTTAAAATGTACAACCTTCTCTTCCATAAAACAGGCAAACAATAATACATTGACATTTATTAATTTAGCAGATGCTTTTATTCAAAGTGACTTACAAATGAGGATATTAATGATATTATTGACTCAACCTGCATTACACAGATTGCTGTCCAGTAAAATGCTTTCTAGCACGAGAAGGTGATTTCTCTTGTGCAGTAGTTGTCAGCTCTACTGTATGCTGTGGCTCACTAGGGGACCTCAGTAAACTTTCAAGGAACTTCCATGCAACATGTAACATCCATACATTCTCCAATCCGTGTGTCCTCTGTAGAGCTGTGGGGATGTTGAGACCCATCCCAGAGTCTGTGGCCATAGACTGGGGACACCCTGGATGGATGGCCAGTAGCATGTAACGTGCAACATATTTCTTATTATGGAGAAAATTATGAGATTTACATGCACTACTGAGCATTTCCCCCCCACGTTACAACAATAACAACAACAACAACAAAAAACTGTAAAACTCAAAAATTAGTACCTTCTCTTACTAGCAAATTCTTTTTTTTTTAATAATTTCAGATCAGGAAATATCACAAGCTCTTTGAATAATGAATTTGGAAGACCTTGGAGTAACAAAGGCTGTGAACCAATGCCCTAATATCATTTTCCACAGATGATAAAGTAGCAAATCATGAAAATTAAATTAAAATTATTAAAATAATTAAAAACAATTAAAAGCTCAATTAGTTATTTATTATGCATTATCAGCTGTCATTAACAAAGGAATGTGTGTGTGCATGTTTATGGACAATCAGCCTATTAAAGGTCACAATAATAAAAAAATATATATATTTTTATTTTTTAAAGTATATGACATTGAGTTGTATGTAATGCCTGCATAAATGATTGCATGTTTGTGATGTAGCCAAAGTCAATGACTTGTTGTTCTGAGTGACTGCTAGGCAGTTTCTAAGGTGTAACGGGTAGCTGCAGTTGGTTCACTCTTAAGAAAAACGGTTCTAAACAGTACCAGAAAAGGGTTCCTCGGCTTGTAACAACAGAACACTTTTTGGTGCTAAATATAACCTTTTTTCATGCTTTGAATGGTTTATATGTTTTGAATAGTTTACTTTGAATAATGGTTTATTTTCAATATAATTTTTAAAAAATATATGATTATTCAAAGCAAACCATTCAAAGAATATAAACCGTATAAACCATTCAAAATGGTTGTTTTAAATATGGCTTACATGCTTTGAATGGTTTGCTTTAAATAATGGTTTATTTTCATTAATATCAGTTTTTTAAAATATATTATTTATTAATATTGTTTTCACCCCTCTATGTTCCAGGTCTTAAAATATCTGGCCTATATTAGGGTTTTGTATTTAAAAAATGGCAAACTGTGTAATTTGGGTACTTTTATTTTTTTATTGTCAATTTTGTTTTTTTATTGACAAATGTAGCAAGACGTACAGTATTTTAAATACAGTTATTAGCTGAGTTAATAGGCCTACATGAACTTACATTTAATGTAAATAAATACATAAAGGAATAAAACACAAAACAGAAACAAAAATGCAATGAAGACCATAATCAAATTCCAGTGAAACATTCCAGAACCCCAATGGTAAAAGGAAAACGTCATTGGATAGCTTTAATGTTTTTTTTCTTGCTGTTTAAGTGACTGGGTATGTTTATGCATAAACCAAATAATAATTTAGAACTTTAACAATATAGATTATAAATTCAATATCCCTGTTACTTAGAAGAGGACTGAAGTATCCTCAACTGAACAACTAGAGCTGACACATGGTCTCTTAAAATAAAATAAAATAAAATCGATAGATAGACTAAGGATCAGTCTCTCTGAATCAGATATCAGAAATCAGAGCTTCCAGTGCAGACAGTAGGCCTACATACATAGAGCAATAGACAAATAAATAAATAAAATCTACAAATGTGCTGCTATTTACTACTAAATGTGCCCTTTTTGTTGGGTAAATACTGTATATATCGTGCTTGCAATCTTAACATTAACCACACGGTGGTGCTATAACAAAAACTATCAACAGGCTGACAGCGTGAGTAAAGGGGTGAGCGAGGGCGTCCATTATTCAGTACTTCTGGTAAAATGCCTTTTATCTCATCCCAGACACGACCACGTAGTATTATTAATGGTTCATGTAGTCTATGTATTTACAATGCGACTGATTGTCTGTTATGATTTAGGGCAGTGACACAGTGATTCACATCGTCGAACTGAAATAGCCTATGTTAGAAAGTGGTGTTTTAATGCATGTAAAAATGCATGATTACATATACTGTAGCCTATGTCACATTCAGCGATTGAGCTCAACTGAGTCATGATACATGATACTACAGCATACACTAAACAACATAGCTTACTGCAAAATAAATATCATGTTTTTATTAGATATAATTGACTTCGACCTTGTTATTTATATAAAAAATGTATTCTGGAATTTCCATGCTTTGTCACAAGATACACTGCTAATTAAATAAAACAAAACAAAACAAAACAAAACAAAACAAAACAAAAAATCTCAGCAGTAAATGAAACAAAGTAGTGTATTTCCTTTTAACCTTATAATGGCAATTACAAAAACATTACAAATAGAATATGTTCACTACGTTAATTTAAACTGAACAAATTTTGGGAAATGCCAAAAAAAAGAAAAAGAATCCAACCAAAAATACATTTCCCAGAAACCTGCGGCATGTGATGACGGCACCGAGGGGCGGGGCTTGTTGTCGTAGCAGCTCTTGCGTTAGTAGAGTACAATGTGTTTGACAGGAATCTGAACGACAGGAGGGGGCGGCGGCACACGAGTGGAAATCCGCACCTTCAAGAGATCGCCATCACTTTTCCCCCCTTGCGTGTAGTCCGTTAACCGCGGGTAGGCGAATGCGGTGAATTATTTGGAGGCTCAGCAACAGGGCACACAGAGTACAGGATGCCGCTGAGTGTATCAACCCCGCGAGCGGGGAGCTCCCGCGACTAGCGCCGCGCAAAGTATCCAAAAAGGAGAATGCGAATGGTTAGAGAGGACAGGATTCAATTAACATGGAAACGATGTAGCTTCACCGCCGCATTGCATATAGCTCGGGGAAACAGGTTAGAAAGTAGATAGCAAAATAGGGCGCATTTTGCCGTCATACATGCAAACTTACTCCTCATCAAGCTCAACTAGCCTGTAGTTTGCTGCAACAAAAGAAACACCTGCTCGACAGTGTCTTCAGATACCAACGAAGACAGAAGAATTAAAGATGTTACGGAGGAGGCTCAACCGATTGGTATGTATGGCACTCTACGTGTTACTTTAAAGAAGATGTAATCGAGTGTGTAAGTAATGATCAGCCTGAGTCTGACAACAGGGCGCATGTCGACGAAACATCTCAAATGCTGCATAAGTGGAGCGTTTATTTAAAAACTAGGGAGCCACCCTGCAGAAAGCTCTGGGTTTCTCAACACCACCAAAGCTGTAATTAGTTGAGGTATGCAGTCAACTTCCTGTTAACACTGGCCAGCTGTTGCTAAGCGAGTCGTGCCACGCACATTAACGATTCAAAAATGTATGGGCTTTAGCAGCCGTGAAAAAAATATTTTTTTGTTAAGTTGACGGTTGTTTGAAACGCTTTTGAGTTGGCTACGTAGGGTTAGGAGGTCTGGGTTTGAGACACTGGCGACGCCTCTGTTGTGGTGAAGATAATCGTTTTAGGCAGCTCGTTCAGATGTGTCCTGCCAATTTTTTTAAGTTAAGCTGCATTCCTGATAGCGCTAATCAAATAATACTGCTCATCTTGCAAGCTAAGCCCTTTAAAGTGTTGTACTTGAATCCAATAATTAATTTCCTAATGCCCTTCGTTGCTGTCGCAACCTTTTAGATGCAAACTTTATTTGGGCACGTGATGCAGTAATTCTGCTCTTACCACATAATTGCAGAGCATCCGGGCAGTGCTGGAGTAGCTCTTGAGATCTAATGTTGGGTTGAAGATGAAGCCTGTTGTTAGTCTTAGCTGTTTTAGGCTGTGGTGGGAATACTTGTAATCAAATTTCTCCCTGTTTGTGCTTCAAGTATTGTTGTAATTCACCCTTACAAATGAATTCACTACGCGCTCCATATCCCTAAAGGGATAGTTCATCCCAAAATAAGCATTTATTTCCTCAACCTCATGTCATTTGGAACCTGCATGACTGCCCTTCTTCCATGGAACACAAAAGGAGGTAGAGAATTATAACTGATTCTATCATTGTATGAAGAGAAAAAAGGAGCAGTGAAAGTTTACATGGTAGAGAGAAATTCAATTCAGGTTTGGAACAACATGAGGGAGATTAAATCATTACACCACTGTGCCTTTAATATGGCTGTGTCATATTGTCTTGTAATGTGTTGATTGTATGGAATGAAACCTCTCAATTTGCTTAATATTATATTATTCTTACCATTTGTTATTTCTGGGTCAGTGTGAGCAAACCACATCCTCACTTGCTTAGTCTTGTACTATTTGCATAAACCAGACCTTGGTCTATTCCCCTCACAAGGTTTATGTACCTGACATTATTAGTAGTTTGCATAAAAGGAGGCTTCCTAGATCACGATTGCAACTAATCAAGTAGCTATACACCAACCAAATGCTTGATCCAACAAACCCTCTCTATGTCTTTAAATTCATCCCGTTTTAGGCACTTCACACAGAAGATTTTCTATGTAATCGTGCTAGACTTATGTGTTTGTTGTGTTCGCGCCATGCATCTTTTGCAGATTCTCGCAGTTGAGCATTGCTATGTCTGGTTTAATAAAAGGTCGTCCCGCTCATTCATGTCTGTAATGCAAATGCATTCATTGTGAATGGCCACTTAAAGTCAGCATGAAATGAAAATTCACTTTATTTTCCAAATGCATGTTATGTATCTTATTGTGAAAAATTCATCTGATATTATGTTTAATTTTTTTTTACATCGTAATTTTTTAATAAAAATGTCAGAACTGGATAACTGATGTATGCTGGACTTCTCCAGTCCTTTTAGTCTGCTTAAACCCGTCACTGCAAGCTAACATTCATCTGCCTTCATTCTTGACTGCATCGCCCACATCAACAACTGGATGTGGAAAGTAGGGCTGGGTATCGATTCAGATGTCCCGATTTGAATCGATTTGATTCGCAAGCTTTCGATTCGATTCTCGATTTTTTTATTATTTTGTTGGACAACTAGTTTAGAAATGTGAATACTAAGGCTGGGTATCGATTCAGATGTCCCGATTCGATTTCGATTCGCAAGCTCTCGATTCGATTCAATTCTCGATTTTTTTGATTACATTCAGTGAACATAGTTTTAATACAAATGCTATTGATGTTTCAGTTTACAAATGGTGAATTAATAAAAAGAAATTAAGAACCACATGCCTGTATTTTAAACCTATTCTTTTTTTTTTGTATAGGGTCCTTTTTTAAACGATAACAGGGCCCTATAAAATGTTCTTAATTTTTCTGGTAATCAGATGAAGGCATAAAACATTAATTTATTTTATCCTAATCAAATGAAAATTAAACCCTTTTATTTTTTGGCAAACAAAGTGGTGCACAACTTAGGTTTACTGTTAAAATTAAAAAGAAAACAGATGTGATTTTTCCTTTAAAAATAAAGATTTATTAATATTTATTAACCAGAGAAGTGCTGCACAACAGAGGGTTGTTAAAATTAAAAAGAAAACAGATGTGATTATTCCTTTAAAAATAAAGATTTATTAATATTTATTAGCAGTAGTAGCACTGAGTCTTAAGACTGCTAAATAGTAATATATTCTGACAGTTTCTTAACGTTAAACTATACTTTTATTTTGACGGGTTGCCATGAAGAACTTGCAGCTGCTGTGTATGTGATATGATGGTAGTTTTCTCAAATGAAACTTAAAATTTTACACACTACTTTACAAAAATTTATTAAGCGTCATTTGCGCTTTATTATGTGTGTAGTAAACAAAACAGTGCGCCGCACCATCCGCCATTAATCAGATCTTGTTTTAAATGTGTGCTGAAATAAATACCGGAAAAGATCGATTTGTGGCTTTTAAGAATCGATATCGAATCGACGTCATTTAAAAAAAACGATTAATCGAAAACTAGATTTTTTTTTGCCCAGCCCTACTATACAGTATATGTTTTTTTGATAATCCATTACACTCAGATGTACGTGATTTTGTGTTTTGTTAGCTGATTTCTGATTTAGCCGAACCCAAAACCAGCCTAATTATTCATGGCTACCTTGAGACCTATAAGTCGGCTAGGCGATTTCGAAAAATTTCCACATCTCTACCGGTCCGGTCGGTCACATAGGTTCCTTTTTTATGCTGAGCCGCTTTACTATCTTGTCTCTTTTTATAGTGTAATTCTCCCATAACCTGTTGGTGCCATTAGGTTAAATCGTGCTGCTGGCAGTGTGTGCGCTATAGATACCAGCAGTAATAGACCAATATAATGATACCATGCTCTGATATTCCCGCAGGTCTTGTAATGTTACTCAAGTCAGCATATTCTCTTGCGCTGCTATGGGCTTTGCTATCTTTTTGTGTGAATCATAAATAACGTTTGCGTGGTCGCCATACCTGTTGTCACTGATGCAGACAGTATTGTTATTACAGCATCTCAAGTCATTCTTCTCAGATAACATGGACAACTGTTTACTGGAAAGTCAAGGTCTGTGTAAACTGTACGAGCAGGAATCTTCTGTTTTGATGTGCTGCTAGATCGGTATACTTGGAAAAGTCATTAAAAATTGTGTTAGCTGCTACAGCAATGCACCTTTGATTTGTTCTCTGACAGGAATGCTAAATCTTGGTGCTTTTAATGTTCTCTCAGTCCTTGAAGATAGTGGCCTGTTGTGTCTTGACTGGTGGTCTGGAGGAAATGTGATAGCATTCAGGTTTGAATCTCTTTCGTAAAGATGGGAAAACAATATGGACAGATATGAAAGGCCTAGTTTTCCGGAAAATCCTGCTTCTCTTCTGCGGGTGAGTGCTGAGTTAGTTTAGGGAAATGCAAGAGTTGGTTCAAATGGTTGCTTTTCTCATGTGTTGAGTAGTGCCTTGACTATTTAAGAGCTGCACAGTAATGGTTAAATTGATAATCCCGGTTATTTAGAGTATACATTTTCAAGATAAATAACCAGTGTGGGTCAATATTGCCTAATCATAAGAAGCAGAAATTGTGATCATTAAAGTATGATTAATCATGCAGCCCTATTATTTACAGACGTTCTCTGAACAGTCAGTTTATTTGTTTTAGTTAGACTTCAGAGTAGCTGTTGACACATCTACTGTACGTCAGGCCCTGTCTGACTGGATTTCTCTATGTTGTGCTTTCACTTCTCTCTGAGCACTCTGAGCATCGCAGGTCCTTCCTCTTCACCAGTTAAAGGTGAAGTCAGAGCTTCCTTTGGTGCGTACGATGCTCTCTTAGGAAAGACTTTGCCTCTTTGAAGCAAACCCCTGAGGAGATCTGAAGATGGAGCTGTGCAGATGTTATTAACCGTAGCTTACCCAAAGAACACTGCAAATGTTTGATGTGCGAGGGTCCTTTTTCTCTCCTCTGTAGTTTTTCACCATCTGTAATAATTTTTTAATAAATTATCCGTGGGATGTTTGTCTTTTCTTTCTACCATCTTTTTCATTTTATTGGGATTTTTTGCAGCGGCAACAACAGGAAACAACATGAAAGGGTGGGTGGGAGAATATGTGCTACATGGAAATTAGGAAATAACCGGATCCCGGATTCAAACTCTGGTGAGCCATCAGGCTACACTTCCCATCAAGCTGCATCTTTTTTCTAATTGTGTTGTACTGCTGTTTTCCAACAGAGTGACAGATCTTTTCTATTTTCTATTGTGACGTACATCTGAGTGAAACTGGTTATCAAAAAAAAAATTGGTTGAGGAATTGGTTCTATCCATTTGATTTTGAGATGTGGATGTTGCACTCAAATGAATGTAAGCGTGTAAGAAAGGGGCGGAGTTAAAGCAGACTAAATGATTGGAGTAGACTGGCATACATCACCAAGAAGATGTTTTCATTGGAAGATTGAGTTATGACATTTTGTAAAAATAATGTTACCAATAAGATCTATAATAGTCATTTACAAAATATATAGTGAATTTTCATTTCATGCTGAAAATCATTTAAAACTAACCAGTGTCCCTCAGCACTATTGCTGGCACAAGTCCCACAGAATTCTGGCATATTAAAAGCTTGCATGTGCATCATGCACCAGCTTTTTCCTCTGTGTACAAGCCAGGTAAT